AAAGATGTGATGCCGTGTGAAACAGTGGAAGTTCAAATCATGCCTCTCCCTGTGTAAGCTGTGGGACTTCAGGCAACAAATCTAAAGGACCCCGTGCTCCAGTCTCCCTCATCTGTAAACCGCCAGATGAAAACAGCAGAACACAAACCTAAAACATAGCTCTCAATAAATTCACATTATGATTTACACAAGAAATACGAACTAGCAAATGCAAGTGAATTTTAAGTATCATGTTAAAAACTAAGGGTAGTGTCAGTGCTAACATTCTCATAATTTTTTCCACATTCAGAATTTGAATCAGAATTTCAAAAGAAATAAACATTCAGCTTTTAAAAGTATACAAAGATAGCTTCCAGCTGGCTGTTGAAAGGTTTCTTGTTTTTTGTTTTCTTTTTTAATAAATCCTTCTTCTTGCTAAAAAAATATATATAGTTCTCTAAACCTTTTAAGTTTTTTTTAAAAAATTATTTTTATTTGAAAGAGTTAGAGAAGAGACAGAGCGAGAGAGGCCCCTAACCTTCATACATCCTCATCTACTTCTTTTTCCTTATTTTATTATTTTGAAGCAAGTCCTATATATACACTGTTTATTTATATTTCAGTATTTATCTACAGCAAATAAGAATGCTTCTAGCAGCATAGCCATAATACCTTTTTCACCACAAATTCAATAGTTACTGCTTGTGCCATTACACAGCGAGTGGATGTTCTTATTTTTTTTCTACATCTGAGTGGATCCAGTCCCTCATGGCATCCACAAAAAGTGCTCAGCTGGTATGTCTGGACTCTCTCAACCTGTCTGTTCCCCTTTCTTTCTTTTCCTCCCATTGCACTGCATTTGTTGAAAAAGGAAGTCTTTACCCTACAAATTTGTATAGTCTCCATTTTGATCACTTTATTTTTACAGCATTGTTTAACATTTATCTCTGCAGTATTTCCTGTGAATTCATAATTCTCAGGAGTAACTAATAATCTGGAAATCTGATCAGACTCAGGTTCTGTGGAGCTTTATTAATTATGGAGATCTATCCCCTGAACCAGACCACCAAATGTCCAAGAGACCCCAAATCTCAAACATTCTCAGCAGACTGAGAATGTAGCAGAAAGCAGACTTTCTGCTGAGATTTTGGGTCACTTTGTCCTCAGAGTGCCTGGGGAGGTGTGAGGCGTCTTCATTATCATCTCCCTCTTCCTTTGGAGATTGTGGCATGAACGTATCTGAGTACAAAGTTCTGTTAGACTCCATTTCTACTTGGATTTGTTTCTTTACTGGTATTGGTTCCAGTAATTCCAGTAATTATACGGCAGCTTGGAGCCTGGTGATTGTTCCCCAGATCACAAGGGATCTATCATTGGAGTAGCTTGTGTGCTATTGTTTAGTTAAATTCTAACTTTTACCAGCCTGCTTGTTTTGCAAAAATTTGGTATAAATTCCCCAGAAAAACTCAAAAAACAGTGCACTGATTCATCTCATCTCTGCATTCCGTGTGTCCCAAAGTTCTTCTCCGCATGGACGTCACAACTTGAGTCCAGGTCCCCACTAGAGGGACCCCCAACAAGACCCCCAACAAGGCTCCACCTTTTTGGCAAGACTACTGTCATGACTGCCGTTTTTTTCCATAAGAAAGAAATTCTAGTTTCTTTTTTGAAAAAAAGAATTTTTACTAATACATAGTAATTATACATATATTTGAGGCATATCGTGATGTTGTAATACATGTATACATTGTATGTTAAATATGGATATGCATATCTTTTTTCAAATATCTTTCATTACCTTATAGCTAAAACATTCAAAACACTTGTTTTTCTCTAGAAAAAGATATACAATGTTATCATTATAGTCATCTATTATGCAATTACACACCAGAACTCCTTGTTCCTAACTATAGCTTAGTACTCATTGAATAATCTCTCCATCCCTGCCTCCCTGGAATGGCTGGTTTCTTTTTGTAATGTTTATAGCTCCTGAGGTATATCTCCAGCCATTAACTCCTAATGGGTGGAAAAAACATTATATCCTAATTAACTCATCCTTTCTTTAATTACTAGAAAAATACAATTCATGAGAAGAATAAGTTTCTAATTAAAGGAACTTCTACCGTGCTTCAAAAAGTTAATGCAGATGGATTTAAAAAATAAACTTTTTGGTGCAAAAGCTTGAAACCCATGCATAATGAGGACTTCTCAAATAAGATTAAAAACTGTCTTGTGAAAAAATTACATGGACTTCAAAAACAATTGCACCAAAGTAATCTTTTAATTCCCATTTCCCACAAATGTTTTGTCTTTATTTAACTCGCAGTTCTAGAAGTTAAAGAACATGGTGCAGGTATCTGCTTGGCTCCAGGGAGTATTTTAGCTACATCAAAACATGGTGGGAGTATATGCAAGAGGGAGAGTGTATATTTTGAGACAGGAGCCAAAAAACCAGAGAGGTGTCATGCATTCTCTATAATAACTGGATCTCAGGAAATTCATCCACTCCTACCAGGTTGAGAATGGAGCCCTGTGAGCCAACCAGGAGACTTCATTTCTTTAAGATTTCACTACCTCAACACTGTCATCTTCTAAGCATCACCATAGGATTGGTTGGAAGCAATCTATTTGAAGGGCCTGGATTATATGAAGCCTTGTGTAAGATCACTGGGAGACATCATAGAGACTGCTTGCCACAACTGGGTTCCTACGGTAATTCTCTTGTGCTGGTGCAATGGTTCAACAGGCAAATCTTCCACCTGCAAATGCCATATCCCACATGAACACTGGTTCATTTGTGTCCCAGCTGCTCAACTTCCCATCTAGCTCCCTGCTTATAGCCCTGGTAGGGAACAGAGGATGGCCCAAGACCTTAGGACCCTGTACCTGTGTGGGAGACCCAGAAGCTCTTGGCTCCTGGCTTCAGATTGACTCCACTCCAGTCATTGTAGCCATTTAGGTAGTGAACCAGCAATGGAAGATCTTTGTCTCTCTGCAAATTTGCCTTTACAATAAAAGAAATATTAAAAAAGAAATTAACTCCATATGAACAAGAATTTCCATGTCTGTACTAAAGGACAGAATTATAGTAAAGACATTTATAAAATGAGGGAAAGATTCCATTTAAGCTTGGATCTTATTTTGAAATTCTTAAGCAAGAAGGCAAACTAGAGTATTAATTTTGCATCCAGTTGTTGATAATCATAGAATTCCTCATTAAGGCCCGCAATGGGAGTTCCTAAGATTAGATCCCTGAATATGAGAACTCAAGAAAAACTTGATTATCATGCTTGTCCTGTCTTGTAAAATCTGTAGTGGCTCAGCAGTGACTCAACTGTAAGAATCCCTAAGAACTAACCATAAGAGTGTTAGGATAACTTACTTTTTTTATTTTACATTTGAAAAGCAGAGGTTAGCTCCATCATCAGGTTCAGTTCTCACCGGCCATCAGTAGCTGAAGCCCTGAGTCAGAAATGCAATCCAGTTCTCCCACATACATAGCAGGAACCTAACTGAGTCATCACTGCTGCCTCCTAGGGCAATAAGGCTGAAAGGAAACTGGAACTGAGAATTAACGCAGATATCTTCACTGCTAGACTAAATCCTGCTTGTAATGGGCCCCTTTTAATGTATAAATGTGCCTAATAAAATCTCATCACTACTTGTCTTCATCTCAATCCCAAATTATCCTGCATTTTCCCCCTATTAAGGGGTAAAGTATTACTCTAAAGTACTTAAATGAGCACTTATTTGCATAGCTAAAATTTCCCATCAACTTGCAAGTTATACTAGCTATCCCAAATTAATTTCAGGTCATTTGGTTGCAAGAAAATTCCTGGAAGTTTATGTCTAGTAAAGGACACATTCCAGACAAGAAATAATTGCTATACAAGGCAGCAGTATATAGGCGCATCAAAGTGATGTGGATAGAAGTACCATAGTTGTCCAGTACAATATTGGGAGCAAGGGTCACATTTTTGGTAAACATCTACAGGGAACCTTGTCCATTTTTATGGCTGTAGCCCTACACAATCATAAAGGTGTTGCAATGTGACTTTTGTATGTAGACTTTTTGTTGTTGTACACAGAATCTTATAGGTACCAAACAATAACTTCAAAGTAGCAACCAACCCATTTTAGTGACAATAAATAACAGACCGATTCTAGAAAATAATATTTCCCTTGAGCACATTGTGCAGAATATATGAATCTATCCATGTACTGCACAATCTGTGCATGTCAAAAATTCAAGCATGAAATAACACAGATAAAAAAAAAATTCAAGCCTGATCAGATGCCTTTTTGCCAGGAAGAGGACCATAAATGGCAGGATTTGAAAGTCAATCAGATTGTGGTTATGACCACAGGAGTTAAGTCTTCTCTTTACCCTCCAAATTAATACCTGACTTAAACACTAAGGAGCTGTGATTGATACGGTTTACTTTTTCCATTTCTCATTGGATTATTTATCACTAATGACCCTTAATACAGACCCATTCACTCATCTCCTTAGGGAGCTCAACAGTGCTATGTTGTCAACATGTTATGCCTTCTTCTCATGATGACTCTTGTAATCTCTTTTGCTTTGTTTTGCTCATTCTTCACTTTTTTTTTTTTTTACTTTTGCTGCTAACTCACACAGACCTAGTAGGACCTACCTTTTGTATATGACTATCCAAAGGCACTGCTTTGCCTCTGGATTTTTTTCTCCACAGTTCTCTACTCAAGATTCATGTCAGGCTCTTCTCACCCTTCTCAATATCTGACACAGTTTTATCTCCAATGTTGGGATCTTTAGTCTCTCATCACCCAAGTTTTATTTAAATCATTATTTCCTTATAGATTCTGTTTCTATTTTGAACTCTGGATTTAGTGCCATTCTATGCTTACTGACACTGCCTGCATTTTTTAAATGGCATTTTCTAGAGAAAAATGTTTTTAAGGAAGAAGGATTTCATTCCTTTACTGCACAAAGTAATTTAACATATAAATGATTTTCCACACTTAACACAAAATTAGACAGAGAAAGGTACCACTGGAGTTCAACATTTTCACGGGAATTTTTATAACAGTATTTGAAACGCTATATAAACATCTGATTTAAAAATACTACTTGATTACTTTGATTATATACACCAGATTTTCTTTGGAGGAATACGATCTAACGTGTAGTTAAAATTTTTCTGTGTCTTGTTAAGGCCCATTATGTTTTCTTCATTTTATGTGCCTTAATCTGGAACAGTAGTGTCATGTCCCAAGTAGAAATGGGCGACACATCTTCGAAAATCCAGTAGGTCAAGAGGGGCACCAGGATTACAGGCTCTGTGTAACTGCCATGCGTTGTTCACAGCCACATCAATCATGTAGCTCACCAAAATTGAGTACCACTTCTTGCTTCTTATTCTTACCCTATATTTGGAAATAATTTGATCCATTTGAGCTACACCTTTTCTGCATTCATCAAACAATTTCACAATGGATGGCTGACACACCTGAGAGATCTCTTTATCATCAGCAAAACAGCTTATCTCACCAACAGGCTCTATGCCGACAGCATTGGAGCACAGACTGATAACATCATCACCATGCCAACGGCACAAAATTATCTCCTCGTTTTCTTCCACTCGAAAATCAAAATGCCCCTTCTTCGTTTTTCTCATGCGTTCTGTTTTCATCAGTGGACATTTTTCAGTTCTGTTGTCATAAATTGCTCCCGTCGCCTTCACCCCTTTTTTCTTCAAAGCTGACATTAGTTTGACACTTGTGAAGAAGCTATCAAAACACAGGTGATAGGGATACTGTCCCTTCTCCAAAAGAACATCAGCAAAATTCATTACTAGGTTTCCACCTAGCCCAAGGTCACAGTCTTTATCTGCCTCCACAGTTGATTCTTCTTGATAGGGCTCAAACCAAACCAGATAGCCCTGAGTGGTTGTACCACACCAAATTCTATAGCCTATTCTAAGAGGCTTTCCATTCAGGAATTGATCACTATCAATGCATTCACACATTGATTTATCAAAGCTGTAGTATTCTTCTAGGGGAGCATACAAGAGGAAATTTTTATTCATTTGCTTTATGAGAGGCCTTAATTCTGAAAATTTATCTTTCTGATCTAGATGGCTGTTATCTGCAAAATGCAAGTATGAGAAAATCAATTCAAATCTATCCCTCTGAATGGCGTTTCTAACCAGGTTCTGATCAGCATCAGACACTTCCCAATACATTTCCCTTCTGGGCCTCCTAACAAACCCACTCCAAAGTAGCACACCAAAAACACACCTCATTTCCTGAACTGTGACTTCCAAGTTGACATTTTTTTGAGAAGCATAATTATTGGTCTCGTTGACAATCAAATTGAATGTTTCATCATCAAAAAACAATTCAAAAAGCTCTACCGGGTTCAACTTTTCACTCTTGAGATTTAACAGACCAGAATCGAATCCTGACCAGCTTGGAAAGTTGGGTTTAATATCTCTCTTAGTCCAGTTCTCTGGCATACCAGACACCTTGAACTTCTTTTCAGCAGGCTGGGTCTCGGGCTCATTGTCCTCCTCCACTTCTGAGTCATCAGAAAAGGCAAGTCCTTGCAGTAACTCACTCACTCGAGCTTTGTCCTTTTTCCTCCCTTTTCGGGTAATGTCTCCCGCAGCATACTGCAGGGACGCAATGTGCATCCGGGCCCACGAGTCACGTGGGAGGCGGGCTTTCAGTGTGTTCAAGTGAGACACTGTCCTTTCAGTGGGGGCGGCAATACTACAAGGCAGGTGAGGTGCACAATCTCTGGAAAGCAAAAAGAATACATGCTGCACGAGCCTTCAGTCTCCTCTCATCGATGACAAATCAAAAGCAGACATCTTTTAACCCAAAGCAGGGGAGGTAGAGGGCAAGGGGGTTAGTTACTTCTTACCCTTCAAAATTCTTTAGGGAGGATTTCAGGTACAATGAAATTGGCCTTTCCCACTTTTCACCCACTCCTCATTTCATAGCTAATTGTCAATCTGGTAGGAAAAAACTGGACCTCCTGGGTGCAGCTCCAGCCCCTGTCCTCGGGAGAACAGGAGGCAAACACTGCATGTTCCTTTTTGCTCTACGCAGTAAGAGATCTGCTTCATTCCTTTCTGCCAGCACAAGCCTGTTTAGCTCTATCTCTGAGGCATGTTACCCAGTCTTATTTCTGTCAATAATAAAGTTGAGGCTTCCAGAATCATCTGTTGCACCCCTGGGTCCCTGTCAATTGTGTCTGTATTTGGATAAGGAAGGAAGATGCTATTTATCAGGTCTCCTCACACTTTTCACGGAATTTGTAAACACGGAGGAATTAGCCTCTCCTACCTCTACGTTCATCTTGTAGCCATATTTCTCTGGGGAAAAACAAGAAAAGGAACTCAAATTCATTGAACTGATTTATATGAGGTGTTAAAGAAAGTAAGCTAATTTTTTTTTTAAATTCTACACATGTGCATTTCATTCACCAGTGTTTTATCAGTACATTAATCTAGTTTCAAGAGACATGGCAGGAGGGACAGTCGTAAGAAGCATTTATTTTAATATAACTTATACTACATACATTTATTCTCTAAAGCATTTAGCATTCTGGGTGTCTTCAATTTTCTACCATATTCAACTCATTCATCTTAAGAGTCCCTTGACAGTCTCAACTTTGGCAGCAGTCTTTAACTCCTGTCTGACACTGGGCCTTTCCATGGCTGAACTCTACACTCCAAGAGCTACAGTGCATTAAGACAATCTGGTGAGGGAAATGGGAAAAAGAGTGAGGTAAGGAAGTAGGGTGGGAGACTAAAAGAGATGTACAGATCTGGAGTGGGCTACATCTTTCACATCATGCCTAGGCTGCTGCACAAATCTGGAGTGTCCTGACTTCAGGCTTTCTGAAGATTTATTCCTAAAGGCTTTGAGACATGGTTTCAGCAACCTAATACTAAACGCACAAGACAGACATCACAGCACATTGCTATTCTTCAGTTATAACTCTATACTAGGTCCCCGAATATTATATTTTTTCTTTTGGTGACAGGGCCTGGCTCAGTCCTCACCAGAATACTGAAAATTTTACCTCTTTTAAGCTTTAACACGTTTCTATTTTAGCTGAAATTCATTTCCCTACTTCCTTAATTAATGAATAAATGACCATGAGGAAAATCTCCACTTAATTATCCCACCTGTTTGCTTTCTCCTCTTACGTCTCTAAGGAGAGAGCAGCCTCGCTGGCCTGGGATTTGCTCCCCAGGTTTCTGCTTTAGGAGTATCTCATTCCCACAACTCACATTTAAGAAGAATTACTACTATCATTAAGTTTTCCTTCTTTTTCTCTTTTTGAACTATTTCTTGCTCAGTTTTAACAGAGGTTGCAAGTACCCCACCTGGCTCCATAAGTCCTCTTCCAGTTCTGGTACTTCTTTTCTAACTCTCATGGCAGCCTCACCTATAGACATCCCTCACATGTAAATCATCACAGGTTTGGCTTATCTACAGCTCCAGAAAAACATAAGGATGCCCAAGGAAGAACGATCAAGTGGGACACACTGGGTCAGAACAAGGTTCTCAGAAGTAAGCACGTGCTAACAGAAGGTTTTGTTTAATTACCTATATTGGCATCTGTCTTCTATGGTCAGAGAAATGAAGGTGGAAGTTGCCCTGCATTATTCCAGAGAGACACACTTTTGACTAATTAGTTTCCCTAGTTTCATTCTAATTTATTCTTAGATATACAATTTGATCCACTCAGAACCAGAACACTCACCTATTGTGTATTGCTGAAGTCTTTCCACTTTGTTCCATTTCTTTGGAAGTGTCTTGATTCACATTAGTCAATCCATCTTTAGTTACAACTTCTTCATCTATAATAATACATCAGTTATTGATATGTTACCTGTTACCATGATTATAGGGGAAAAAAAAAAAAAAACCCTGGGGGCTGGTGTGGTGACAGAGCAAATACATCTTCCACCTGAAGTGTCAGCATCACACATGGGAGCCAATTCAAGTCTCAGCTGCCCCACTTCTAATCCAGTTCCGTGTTTATGATCTGGAAAAGCATTGGACGATGGCTCAAATCCTCTTGGGCCTCTTCCACCATGTGGAAGATCCAGAGGAAGCTCTTGGCTTACGGCTTCAGATTGACCCAGCTCTGGCCATTGTGGCCATTTGGGGAGTGAACCAATATCTGGAAGCTCTCTCTCTCTGTAAATCTGCCTTTCAAATAAAAATAAATATATTTTTAAAAAGAAAAACCTCTGCAGTAAACTGAAGCGAAAAATCAAGATATATCAAGGGTAGTTTCAGGAAGTCTACAAAATGTGGTAGAGTATAAGAGGATGGTAAGAAAAATCAACAGGGCGCACAAGTTTAGCTGGGGAGAGGGCCCTAGAGGGCAGAGCACATGTAAAGAAAATTCAACATAGCCAATACTGTTCTTGGGAAAGAAAACTTCTATGGTTAAAAAGAGGGACCAAGCCAGAGCACTAACAGGGTTCCCACACATAAAGGGATATCTGAAAATGACAAATCCTATGGAATCCTTGATAGGGAAATAAAAGGGAAGCAAAGAAGGAATCACAGAGGGACTTGGAAAAGGATGGTCAGGGAAGCCAGGCAATGGAGCACAGGTGATAATGTGATCGGGAAGAATGCAAAACAATAAGGACCAGCCTGTCCTTAGTTATCAGACTGAGGTCTGTCATCTCTAGGGTTGAGCTCTCACCGAGGTTCCTCTTTGCCAAACCCAGATGTGACCACCCCTCCGGGGCAAGAGCTGCAGCCATTTCTCCCCTGGTCTTCATCACCTAAAAGGCAAAGGACAGTCTCTCAGCTTTCACCGTACTGTTGACCACACTATCAACCAATAGTACCTTCAGGGCAGTCTATACGGATTCTGTGGGAACCTTTATGGTTACAACAACGAGTGCCTACGCCACTTCATGCCAGTCCCATTCAGAGAGAGAAGCCAGAAATGCTAGACCTCCTGCAATGGGCAGGTCAGCCCACATTACGGCAAACTGTCCTACATCCTGCAGGACGTTTGGGTATAATGCTAAACCAACCTATAAACTGGATGCACTTAAGGTAAAAGTGTCAAAATACTCTACAGAATAAAACTGTGGAAAATGAACTTAATCATGCTATAGTGAAGGAAACTTACATGGAATAAAGATATCACAAAAGCTGACTCATCTAAATTTTCTATTCATTTTTATGGCATATTTCTATTATGTATTTAACTGAAGAGCATTTCAATACAATATTGCAGTTACTATAAATCCAACTGAACTGATTACAAATATATACTTGAGGATTATGAAACTTGGAACTTAATATAAATGTAGGGATCTCATTGAGTTTCACTAATATAATTTTAAAATATTTCAAAAGTAATAACAGATGCAAGGTTAGAAAGTTAAACACTGAAATCAGTTTATTCTGAAGTTATCTGTGGCTGTCTGTCTTTACCTAACATTTTCCCCAAAGCCTGATAATTTGGTTTTTATTACTCTCTTGATTTTTGTTTCATTTTCCAACATTTCTTCTCTCCTCCATTGCCCAAAGGATACAGTGCCTAGATTTTACAGATTAAATAACTGTTTTGATAAAGGGATGGAGGTGGAGATAGACTATATCTTTTATATTATCACTCCCCCACCTCTGACAGAAAGTGGAGAATTAATTTTGATACCAAAAAGCCCAATTCTTAAATCTTTCCCCCTTATCAATCCATTTGCCTCAAAGTTTGTATTCATCTCCTTGGGCTCTCACAGCAAAGCAGCACAAATGTGATAGCATAAAACAACAGAATTATATCCTCACAGTTCTAGACACTCTAATTCCCAAATTACGCTCTCAGTGGCACCACACTGTCTGACGCCTTGAAGGGAGTTCTTTGCTTCACCCCTAGCTTCTGGGGTTGCTGGCAATCTCTGGCATTCCTTGGGATTGCCCGGTAGACAACCAAACCTCTGCTTTGGTCCTCACATGGAATTTCCCCTGTGAGTCTCTCTTTAGATGGCCTTCCTATAAGAACACAGCCACTGGACTTAGCATCCAGCATGACCTCAGCTCAACATGATTACATCTACAAACATCCTATTTCCACATCAGGCCACATTCACAGGTTTATACGATTAGGACTTGAAAATATTCTTTGGGGGACATAATTCAATCCATATCTTAGCCCTACTTCAGTTAAGGTTATTTCCTTCCTTTAGTCAGATTTTTTTTAAAGATGTATTTATTTTTATTCAAAATTAGATATACAGAGAGGAGGAGGAGAAACAGAGGAAGATCTCCCATCCATTGATTCACTCCCCCCAAGTGGCCACAATGGCCAGAACTTAGCATATCCAAAGTCAGGAGCAAGGTCTCCTACGCAGGTGCAGGGTCCCAAGGCTTTGGGCGGTGCTCAAATGCTTTCCCAGGCCACAGGCAGGGAGCTGGATGGGAAGCAAAGCCTCTGGGATTAGAACCAGCGCCCATTTGGGAACCTGGCACATTCAAAACGAGGACTTTAGCTGGTAGACCACCATGCCGGGCCCTGGGTCAGGTTTTTGATTATTTGTCTCAATAATACTTTCTATTCCACTGTTTGCCTATGATTTTCTGGGACCTCTGATCCTCTTACTCTTCCTTCATTCAGATTTACCACTATATGTTAGTGTAAATGTCTAACCATTTTGTTACTTGCTCAGGTACCATTTTGTCCAAAAATCTGCATTTTGAAATATATAATTTTGGGGTGAGTTAGTTAGCTATACACTGAACACCGAGGATATAGAGGAGCGAGAGAAAATGTCCTAGTTCTTAGGCTGGAGAAACCAGAAACCCTTAATGACAAAATCTCCCTCACTCAGAAGCAAGGGAAGCACCCTCTGAAACCAGAAGCCTCACTCCTCCCCTCTCCCATTCCCTGAGCTTTCCTCCAAACATGGTATGACATGAGGCAAAAGCACTTCATTAAGACAAGTTCCAGGATGAGACGCCCACGATCTGAATAACAGTCATGACAAAGCAGCAGCAGCAGAGGAGTCAGGCCACCGGCAAGGTTTTCAGGGCGAGGAGTATGAGCCAACAGATGAGCAAACAGCTTAGGAAGCAGGAGGGCCACTGCTGAAGCGTCCACCAGCCTGTGCATCCTGCTTACCTGGAACATGGTTGGGTGAAAGTTGGGCACTGCTGCCTTGTGTCTGGAACTTTCTTCCTGGAGAAAGGCTGGTCCCTGGGAAGCAAACTCTGTAGAGCAAGAAAACCAGATGATGTGTAGGAACACCCTTTGTTGCCCACTCCCCAAGACTTGTGCTTGCTCAATCTGCAAAATGAGCTGTGGATCTTTCAACCTAATAGACCACTGCAACTATTTGCATGTGTCAGGGATTCTAAAATTCTAAAACTTTAGATTCCCCCCGCACACACACACAAAACAGAGTAGATAAACATGCACAACCAGAGCCGTCAGCTCCCTCCCAGCTCTCCTAACAATGAGTGCACCCACCGGCCCACCCTGGAGCCGCTCTGGGTTTTTTCTTTTTTTTTTTTTTAACGTAGATAGAACAGAATTAAGTGGTAGGTAAAGCTTTGGTCAAAGAATAGGAGCCAAAAATAGCTGCCTCTGTTGGCACCATTTAAGCTCTCTGATGTTTGGCTTTCCTAACTATTAAACAAGTGTGTTGAATAAATTAGCATTCTGATATTTTTCAATCCCTACACTTTTAAGAGTCTGCTTAGATACAGGGTGAGACAGAAAACAATGAAGTTCGTCAAGGGGTTCAAAATTGTTGTTATGAGTTAAGTTCTGAAGACCTAACATATAAAATCATGATTATAGCAAATAACAATATATTGCATATTTAAAATTTGCTGAGAGGTCTCATGTAGTATTCTTTTTTTTTAAGATTTATTTATTTTTATTGGAAAGGCAGATAAACAGAGAGGAGGAGAGACAGAGAGGAAGATCTTCCTTCCAATGGTTCATTCCCCAAGTGAGCTACGACGGCTAGAGCTGAGCCAACCCAAAGCCAGGAGGCAGGAGCTCTTCTGGGTCTCCCACGTGGGTGCAGGGTCCCAAGGACTTGAGCTGTCCTCAACTGCTTTTCCAGGCCACAAGCAGGGACTGGCTGGATAGGAAGCAGAGCTGCAGGGACGTAGAACCGGAAACCATAAGGGTGCATCAAGTACACCAAGGCAAGGACTTTAACCACTATGCTATGGCACTGGGCCCTCATGTAGTATTCTTATAAACACTCATGAGATAACTGTGAGGTGACAGATAATGACAAAGCACTGTGGCCATCATTTCATGATGTATATAAAAACAAAACCAGAAACTCAGAGACATACTGGGTCAAGTATCCACTAAAAAGACATGCACTGGGGTGAGTGGCTTAGCATGGTAAGTTAAGCCTCAGGCCCGGGGCGATAGCGCAGTGGTTAAGGTCCTCGCCTTGAACGCCCGGGATCCCATATGGGCGCCGGTTCTAATCCTGGCAGCTCCACCTCACATCCAGCTGCCTGCCTGTGGCCCAGGAAAGCAGTCGAGGACGGCCCAAAGCTTTGGGACCCTGCACCCGTGTGGGAGACCTGGAAGAGGCTCCTGGATCCTGGCTTTGGATCGGCATAGCATCGGCTGTTGCACTCACTTGGGGAGTGACTCATCGGACGGACGATCTGCCTTTTTGTCTCTCCTCCTCTCTGTATGTCTGCCTTTCCAATAAATAAATCTTTTTTTTTAAAAAAAAGTTAAGTCTCCACCTACAGGGCTGGCATCCCATATGGGTACCAGCTGGAGTCCTAGCTGCTGTACTTCCAACCAAACTCCTTGCTAATGAACTTGAAAAGCAGTGGAAGATGCCCCAGGGATTTAGGCTCCTGTACTGGGAAACCTGGATGAAGCTCATGGCTCCTGGCTTCTGTCTGGCCCACCTCCGGTCTAGCTCCAGATGCTGTGGCCATGTGAGGAGTGAACAAGCGAATGAAAGCCCTCTCTCTCCATCTCTCTCATTTTCTCTGTCTCTCCTCTCTATAAATCTGCCTTTCAAATAAAAATAAATCGTAAAAAAAAAGACAGGCATCTCTTGGTGCCTGGTGCCCGCATGCTCACCAGGCTCGCCCTCTGGCACTCACCACTCACTTCTTGGGGAAGATGTGGAGGCTCACACTTCAGGGGGGTCCCATCAGGCAGGAGCTGGAGATGCTGAGACTCCAGAAAGGTTCCTTGACAGTCTGCCACCACGAGGTGCATGTTCTGGCCTTGAACGTAGAAAGAGGCCTGGAGATGAAAAATTCACCTTGAAAAGGCATTCCAGGGGGAACTGGACTGGACAGATGTTAGGGATGACCACAAACTTTAAAGAAGCTGCAGGTGGGACATTTAATCAGTGGATATGGCCTCATATCCACGGAGAGCCAGACCCTCCTGTACATGTCAGGGCTGCTGCAGCAAACCAGGCAGATGAATACGCAGGATCCCCACTCAGAGAGGCACAAAAACAGATGGATTGGATCCACTGTGATGGCACAGCTAGTTAAATCTTGTCCTTGCAAATGTCAGGATCTCATTTGGGTGTGGTTTGTGTCCCAGCTGCTCTACTTCCCATCCAGCTCCCTGCTTGTGGCCTTAGAAAGCAGTCAGGGATGGCCCAAAGCCTTGGGACCCTGCACCCACATGGGAGACCCGGAAGAGGATCCTGGCTCCCCAGCTTCAGCTCAGCTAAGCTCCGGCCATTGCTGCCATTTTGGGAGTAAAAGAGCGGATGGGAGATCTTTCTCTCTCTCTCTTCTCTCTGTAAATTTGCCTTTCCAATAAAAATAAATAAATAAAATGGCATCTGGATGATAAACTAGGATGTGTATGAATAGATACACAGTCTCCAAATGTCTCTCAAAAATTGCTTAGTATGGGTCCAGCGCAGTAGATGAGCGGCTAAAGTCCTCATTTTTCACACTCCGGGACCCCATATGGGCTCCAGTTCTAATCCCGGCAGCCCTGCTTCCCATCCAGCTCCCTGCTTGTGGCCTGGGAAAGAAGTCGAGGATGGTCCAAAGCCTTGGGACCCTGCACCCGTGAAAGAGACCAGGAGGAGGATCCAGGTTCCTGGCTTCAGATCGGCGCAGCACTGGCCACTGCGGCCACATGGAGAGTTAATCAATGGATAGAAGGTTTTCCTCTCTGTGTCTCCTCCTCTTTGTGTATCTGAATTTGCAATGAAAACAAATCTTAAAAAAAAATTACTTAGTATGGGCCTGGTGGCTTGGCCTAGTGGCTAAAGTCCTCGCCTTGAATGCGCTGGGATCCCATATGGGCGCCAGTTCTAATCCTGGTGGCCCCCACTTCCCATCCAGCTCCCTGCTTGTGACCTGGGAAAGCAGTCGAGGACGGCCCAAAGCCTTGGGACCCTGCACCCACGTGGGAGACCTGGAGGAAGTTCCTGGCTCCTGGCTTCGGATTGGCACAGCACCAGCTGTTGTTGTCACTTGGAGAGAGAATCATTGGATGGAAGATTTTGCTATCTATCTCTCCTCCTCTCTGTATATCTGACTTTGTAATAAAAATAAAACAAATCTTTAAAAAAAATATTCAGTATGAGAAGGAAAATGGTAATTTGCTAGCGGAGAGATTTGACTAATACCACTGCAAACACACCACTAGTGGCATAAGCCATTGTTGTATGCCTCTAGAGTGATGGGCTAAGGAAGACACATCAGTTCTATGACGTGCCAGACAAAATGCACAAGCTGGGTCTTATCATGATGAAATATATAAGACAAGCTGAAATTGAAGGGTAAAGTGCCGGAGTCCACGGACACCAGGAGCAAAGTCTCCAGTGAAGTGGGAATACATCTTTCAGAAGCATCAATGGCATGACAAAGGAAGGCAGCAGGTTCATACAACTAAATGCGATGTGTAGTGCTGGCTTATATCTGGATCAGCAGAATTAACGCCATAAAGAACACTATTGGGACAACGCACTCAATTCAAAAATAGTATGCACAGGGCATAGCATGAAAAAAAAATGTTAACAACTGGTGAATGTGGGTGAAAACAATTCTTTGCATTTTGCTCCCAATACTTCTATATATTGCAAACTATCTCTAAATAAAAAGCTAATCTCCACACACTCTCATACATTCTCATCCCACCTGCTGTCCCATGTCTCCACATCCTGTCGCAAGATTCTCCAGCATGGTCACGGCCTCCTCCCCGCTCTGCAGAGGACACATCTGCATCCAGGCCTGCAGCTCCTCAGGCAGGATGCTCAGGAACTGCTCCAGCACCAGCAGCTCCAGGATCTGCTCTTTTGTGTGTATCTCTGGTCTCAGCCATTGATGGCAAAGTTCTCGGAGTTGTGCCATAGCCTCCCGGGGACTAGGTGCTTCCTGGTAGCAGAACTGCCGGAAGCGTAGGCGGCAAAGCTCCTGGGAATGACAGCTGCTCTCCTGTGTTCTGTATACCTGCTCCCAGGCAGGATCTTCCACCTTCACTTTCATGAGGCCATCTTCATTTTCAGGAGCAGACCCCGGTAAAGCTTCATACATGTTGAGTTTAGAGGCTAGAAAAAGGTTCACTTATTTAAGGTCTATGCTTCCAGAAATATTTTCCCAAATACAGATCCGAGGCATAATAAATCAGTAATATGTAAACTACAGAAGCTTCAAAACCCTGGGCTGAGACTGCTTGCCTCTTCTACTGGAAAACCGAATGAAAGTATTTCTTGAATACTAAGAGGGTTGAGTCTACGGCCATACCACCCTGAACGCACCTGATCTCGTCAGCTAAGCAGGGTTGGGCCTGGTTAGTACTTGGATGGGAAACTAAGAGAGTTGAACCCAGATACAGAAAAGAGATAGAGTGAGGAAACAAGGGTTAATACTAAGAATGCTTGAATCCCTTCAGCAGAGGAAAAGGGGTAACTTCACTCAGGAAGAACCACCTGAGAGCTGGAACCTCCTAAGTAGCTTCAGGGTGGGGGGCTGGTCACCAGAAAGACTGTAGCAGGATTAGTGTGCTAGGACTTCCAGCACCAGCCTCAGCGGAGGGAAGGCAGGCTGAAGGTTAAGTTGAGGACCAACAGCCAGTGATTTAATCTCCATACTGGAGGCTCCTTCCAAACCCAAAAGGGCAGGCCTTAGGGTTCTTCCAGGTAGTTTCGCAGGTGGACAGCACGGAGCCCACACAGGGCATGGTTGCTCCCTGCCCCTTCCCCACACCTTGCCCTAGGAAACTCTTTCACCTCTATGCTTGCTAAAACCCTCTGTAATAAACCCTGTGTGTTTATAAACCCTGTATGTTTTCTTGAATTCCAGGAGCCACCATAAGGAAATAAACCAAACCCAAATAAGGGGTAATGGAAGACATAATTTACCAGAAGCAAAGTGGAACAGCCATGGGCTTGTGACCGGTGTAAGAAAATGGGGAGCAGCCTTCTGGGGCCGAGTCCTCAGCCTGTGGGATCTCACTCTATCTACAAGCAGAATACACAGGATCTGAACTGAACTGGAGGACACAGAGCAGATGTCTGCTGCAATGGCTTGATCACAAACATCTAACTAACACGAACACAAACAAGAACAAAGTCTTTTGTGTTGATCGTTGCAGGGTAAGTGCAAAGAAAAAAGGTGTGCTTTTGCTACACACCTCCAAAAAATACTTGGATACTATTCTCGGATGAAATGCAATTCCCCTGGTTCGATTTTTGTCACCTTTTTGAGTGTCTTGGGCTGTCTCAGCCATACAGCTAACCACTGATCTAAACTCACAGCTTGCTCTTCAACAAATCACTGGTCTTCTCAGATAAAGTCATTGCCATGCTAACTAACCAAAAGTGTTTCCAGCTTCTTCCTACTGTACGGTATGGCTGTGCTTCCATAATCCCCAGAGCCAATGCCATCTCCTATGCACGTCTATATTCTTCCCTGATCACTCCGCCCACCACCCTCGACCCAGTCCTAATGTATGGACAGGGAGAACTTGTGTCCTCTAAGCCACGCAGGTGCACGTGCGGTGTGCCAAGGGACACTGAGTCCTCCCCCTCCATCTTTTACTACCGATGCCTTCACCCCCACCCACTTAAGGACTGGAACTGACAGGCTCCGTCAACACAGCACGTACCCGGTATTCATGAACTATTGGTGAACTTCTTGATGAAAGCACGCAGATGTACCTGAGAAGCCAGATGTCGGGGCACTGGGGGTGGAGGGAAGGGGAGGGAAGGATCGTATCTAACAATGCATCCCCACACCTAGCATAGCACCTGGCACACGGTAGACACTGCGAAGGTGTGTGCTCAACTGCAAACAGAACACGGATCAGGGAACGTGCACAATAAAGATGCAGCCGACCTGCCGGAACGCGGAGGCCTGGGACCCCAGTGTCGGGAGGGGCCCGGCCAGTCTCCCCCAGGGCCCGGGCCGCGGTGCCTTGCTGGTGGCGGGGTTCTCTCCGGCGCTTCCTCCCGCGGGGAGACGGGCTGAGAAGCGCTTCCCACGCCTGGAGCTGGAAGTCCACCGCTCCTCCGCTCCCGGCGCCGGCTAAAAACCCGCAGCTTCCGGCGGGCCCCTCTAGCAGCGCGGCGGCTCATCTCTCTGGTGCGCGGGGAGGACCACCGCAGCCAAGCCCCGCCCGCTCCACGCCTCTCGCCTTCGCCCTGAGCTAGACCCACCCCGACAGAATAGTCTAAACAAAGATAAATCTGTGTCTTGAGGGTCCTCACAGACTGATAGACAAGCTAGATCAATAAAGAACTCAATTCAGCTAGTTGTACAAATTATTCAAGTGTATAGGTTATTACGTAAAGAGTGAATAAGGACTGTAAAGTGGAAAGTGCCTCCTTCTCTAACCATTGTGTTTTTGTGTGTATCTCCCCAGGACTCCCCGCTATATAACATTCAATGAACCTCTAGTTTGGCTAAAAAAAGAAGAAGAAGAAGAAGAAGAACTCACTATATATGTATTTTAACACTTGCGGAATCACAATTTAATTTTCACTTTAGCTCCGTTCACTAAGGCAGCTTGGAGATTTTCTTCGTAACTTATTCTTTAATAACAATCAGACAACCAAACAGTACTCCAATGCATGGATATGCTTTGATGTACTGAATATTCCTGTTGATACACAAAAGGTGTTCTACAGGCAATCTGGTCCATGTCTAGGATAAACAGCTGCACGTTATGGCTGTTCCAAGTGCATATACAACCTTGCTATACAAGGCCAGGCGTTTAGCACAGTAGTTAAAGATGCCGCTACTCCGTGTTGGAAAGCCTGGGTGGGAGTTCTGACTCCTGATTTCAACTTCCTGCCGACGTGCACTGTGTCTCTGTAAGGAGGGCACCTGCTTGCCCACAGGAGGGAGCTGGAGAGAGTGCTGAACTTCTGCTCGATCGGCCCCCTCTGGCTGTTGCAGGCACAGGCGGAGAGCCAGCCTACAGCTTTCTCCGTAGTTCAGACAAACTTTGTCTTCCTGGCTTTCAAATAAATACAATTCCCGGGTCCGGCGGCGTGGCTTAGCGGCTAAAGTCCTCGCCCTGAACGCCCGGGATCCCAGATGGGCGCTGGTTCTAATCCGGCAGCTCCACCTCCCATCCAGCTCCCTGCTTGTGGCCTGGGAAAGCAGTTGAGGACAGCCCAAAGCCTTGGGACCCTGCACCGTGTGTGGGAGACCCTGCACCCACGTGGGAGACCTGGAAGAAGTTCCTGGATCCTGGCTTCGGACCGGCATAGCATCGGCCCTTGTTGTCACTTGGGGAGTGAATCATCGGACGGAAGATCTTCCTCTCTGTCTCTCCTCCTCTCTGTATATCTGACTTTCCAATAAATAAATAAATCTTTTAAAAAATACAATTCCCTATTAACATTTCAAGAGCATTGGCCTTTGAATGTAAAAGGGGGCTCTAATTGAAAAATTAGTAAAGGAAATGACCATGCCTTGTCATTAAATCAAAATTATACGCTACTAATTAACATATAAAAAGATGTTAAGACTATCCGTGGTTGTGTCAGAAGCTGCCAAAGTGTCTTCCACAGTGGCTGTCTCCTTTTGCATTCCCACCAGTAGTGAGTGAGAGTTCCAGTTGTTCATCACTCATACTAACATTTGGTGTTAGTATTCTAGATTCTGGCTTTTCTACTAGACATTTAATGGTGTCTCTCTTTTGTTGCTGTTGCCAAATATTTATTTGTTCCTTTGAAAAGTAGAGTGACAGAGAGAGTGGAAGAGACAGAATGAAAATTATTTTTATCTTAAGGATTTATTTTATTTATTGGAAAGGCAGACATACAGAGAGGAGGAGAGACAAAAAGGCAGATCGTCCGTCCGATGATTCACTCCCCAAGTGAGTGCAACGGCTGATGCTATGCCGATCTGAAGCCAGGATCCAGGAGCCTCTTCCGGGTCTCCCACACATGGGTGCAGGGTCCCAAAGCTTTGGGCCGTCCTCGACTGCTTTCCCGGGCCACAAGCAGGGAGCTGGATGGGAGGTGGAGCTGCTGGGATTAGAACCGGCACCCACATGGGATCCCGGGGCGTTCAGGGCGAGGACTTTAGCCGCTAGGCCACAGCACTGGGCCCTATTTCTATCTTTTGGTTCCACAAATTCCCACAACATTTAGGGATAAGCCAGGCGCAAGCAGGGAGACAGCAACTCCATCTGGGTTTCCCACATGGATGGCAGACCCCAAGTCATCAGACTGTCATCAGCTGCCTTCCCAGAACAGGCGCAGAAAACTGGGCTAGAAGCACCATTTGGCCAAAACTGGAACCAACCACTCCAGTTTGGGATGTGGGTGTTCCAAACTGCAGCTTGTGAAGAACTAGATGTTTTCTGCTTTTGTAATTCCTGCCTTAATTGCTTGGCTGGGGGCTGTGTGAACTCCAGGCCTGATAGTCTACGTGACACCGGGCAGGACACCTGGCAGGTCATGTAGGCAGACCACTCCTCAGGAAGGAGGTACCTGGTGTTTGATAAGATTCACCGCCCTATAGCTCATCGATTTGTACTTTTTGAAAGTTGCTTGCTTCAAACCCACCAATAGAAGCCTGCTAAATCATGACTGTATAATTAATAGCCTAAAATGTATAAGAACCACTGGGTTGTTCAACTGGGGGCTCCCTGGCTCTCTCCTTTTTTCCCCTCCCTGCAGATCCTGCAGCAGCCTAGACTGGGGGAGGTGGCTGGGAGACCTAAGCTAACCTGAATAAACCACCTTTATGCCTTAGCACCAACTTCAGACTTGAAGATTTTCTGGGGATTTCAAAATCCGGTACAACATTTGCCCAGTGGCACCAAAACACTAGGGTCATTTTTTTTTTCTTTTTGCATTAACTTTCATTTCTCAGATACATGGTTTGGGTCATCTTTTCATACTCAACATTTGACATCTTATTTAATCAGAGTTCTGTTAAGCTCTTTGGATCATTTAAAATTTGCATTATTTTTTTATTGCTGGATTTAAAGAATTTTTTCCTGTATGTTGGATAACAGTTCTTTAAGAGACATATCTTTTGCTGTGGTACATCCAGAAAATAAAATGTTGCATAGTGCTGA